TTACCATCATTGCCGTTACTATTGTAATTACTGCTAATGTTGTGATCATTATTGACACTGTTGTTGTCACTTTTACTGTCACATTATTGTTATTATTATTTTTTGTTTTTACTGTCATATTTGTTATTATTTGTGTTTATGTTATTGGTGTTATTACTGTAATTAACTGTTATGACGATTATTATTACAAGTCTTGTTCTTGTGATTGGTACCGACGTGCTGTAGCGATATACATCTGTTACTTGTTGCTACTATTCTTGTTATCATCATGACTGTTTCCTTCGTCACTATCATAATCATTATTATTCCTACTACTGAGTTTTATTGTTATTGCAATTCCTATTCTTATTCTTAGTCTTATTCTTTGTCATGTTTTCAAGTATTAGTACTATTACTAGATTTTACTGTTCTGAGTCTTGGTAGTCGTATCAGTACTATCATTCGTACTAGTATTCGAATACGTAGGCCCGCAGACGTAGTGGGTTACACGAACGGCTGACGGTATGTCGGTGTCGCATTTTGTCGATCGTCCGTAGTGTCGCCTTTACATGCGGAGACGCGCGCGTTCGACGATCTTGTACGATATGTATGTACATTTATTGTTCCTGTGCCACAAGCACATACGTACGTTTTGCTTGAAGATCGGAGTTCCTATGTGTATATCTGTTCTGCTATCAACAGTTTTGTTCGAAGTTGAACCCGGCAGTGCTATCTATGCATTGCCAGCAGCATGTCCGGCATGTCCAAGAGGCATCGGTGGCCTATAGAGCCTGTGCACAATTTGGGAATCAGTGCGCTCAACATACTGTTTAAATAGTATGGTTGCTGTCGTAATCTTCATTACCATTATCACTAGTATTTTTGTCATTTTCATGACCATACTTGTTCGACAGTTTTCCGTCGTAAAGTCTGGTACCGAAGCCTTCAGCCCTTAGATGCTCAGGTTGTCCCAGGGCTGGGCCATCGCTTCGTGTCGTCACGGCTCCGGCGAGGTGATCCATCCGGGTTTCTGGACTTCTGGGGCTACCCAGAGAGCCCAATACTCCTTAATTAAGGAATATAGCTTAAATCATAATATGAAGCTGTATATAATTTAAGCCATATTCCTTAATTAAGGGGTATTGGGCTCTCTGGGTACGTGGGAATTGCAGAAACTGGGGACGCTCGCATAAGACTCTAGACAGGCAGCAGCTTCGTTAAACAGGACTTTAAGGTATCCGAGTTTTCTGAAACCCCACACGCTTGCGCACCCTAAACCCTAAACCCTAAATCCTAAATCCTAACCCTAAACCCTAAACCCTAAATCCTAAACCCTAAACCCCAAAGGGTTGAGGTCTGTGTGGGTCTCAGGGGCCCGAGGATGGCACAGGGGCTCAACATCCTTGTTTCCCAAGGACTCGATTATCCCTTGATTACGGAATACCTAGGGGTTTAAGGGATCCTTTAAGGAATCTATAGGGTTTAGGGGTAAGGGGACTCCGATATCCCTGAATTAAGGAATATACCTTAAATTATAGTAGGATCCCCAATATATGATTTAAGGAAGATTCCTTAATTAAGGGGTATTGGAGTCTTTGGGTTCCAGGAAATATGCGTGAGATAGATCGGGCGGGGATGCCGCACGATATTGCAGCGTTCAAGATCCAAAACACCAAAACCCTCGACCCTGAACCCTAAACCCCAAAGTATGGATTGGAGTATGGGGCTTCAGGCTGTTGTTGGGCCCAGGTGTTCGGGGGAGGCTGTGCGAGCTGATAGGCTGGGCCCAAGATTGATTTCGAATCTAGGCGTGTCGGATGTTCTGCAGGGGTTGGGGCTGACAAGAGTTTGCGATTCTGAGGGGGTGCACTGATGTGGGGAGTTTCAGAAAACAGGGAATTGACCTGTCTGCAATGTGCTCCTTTGTGGTTGGGGAGAATTCCGTGACCCTCAACCCCGTGAACTCCAAAGCTACAGCCCTGTACGACCCTAAGTTCATACGCTAAGCTCCAAGCTCTAAATCCTGCGAGACCCTACTCGGAGGATCATGGGACTTAGTAAGTAAGGTTATAAGTATTTTTGTTGGGGGTTATAAGTAGTTATAAGTAGAGCTGCCCGAATTATAGCCCTAGTTACTGAGTCCCATGATCCTTTAAGTAGGCAAGACCAAACTCTGAACCCTACCTAACCGCAGGTCTCGTTCCCATGGTGCTGGAAGAGCTTCTGTCGGCCCGTGCCAAGGATCGGTTGTTTTTTTAGCCCTGCCGGCCTCGTCTGGATGAGAATAATGTCAGGAAAGGGTTTTGGGGTATGTGGTGGTGGACTTACAATGGAATTACAAGAGGATTGTAATATTGATGATTCCGACCCTTTTTTTAGGCTGTAGGATAGGTTCAGCGGAATCCAAGCAACTTTTCGGGCTTTCTGCTTTCTTGTTGTAGGTCGGCTCTCACGAAGTGGCCTGTGTGCACCAGGTGAACTGTTCAGCCTCCAACTTTAAATTCGAAGCCGTAAGCCCTCAACATAAACCCTAAACCCTAAAACCCCGAACTCTGAATCCCGGACTACCCAGCACGTTTTGAATTTGGGTAATCCTTTCTTCTGAAACGACAACTTTTAAAACCGGAAGCAAAACCAAGAAACCCGTATGCTCCAAACCCTAAGCAGGAAAGAAACGAGCCGAAAGCAAAACGGCCATAACCAAAATAGCAACAACCCCAAGCCCTAAACGCTAAACCCTAAACCCTAACCCGAAAAAGCAACGACCACAAGCCCTTTGCCAGGCGAAGAAGGAGCTGAAGAGCGTCGTTGCGAATGGCGGCTGGGGGCCTCATTAGGGCATTGGGATTCGTTTTGGGGTTTAGGGCCTAGGCTTCAGGGTTTAGGGTTTAGGGTTTAGGCTTTCGGGTTTAGGGGTTTAGGACTTCATCCTATGTGGAGCGAACGTCGACCTAGATTTTTTGTGGGACTCCTACTTGGTCTTGCTTCCGGAAATCGTCGCTCGACCTGGGAGTAGAGTAGGTAACCTTTAACCTTTTTGGGGTACTACAACCCGCATCTAGTCCCAAAGCTTAACCTTGAGCTCCCCTAAACCCTAAAACCCCGAAACACCCTAAACCCGAAACCCTAAACCCTCCATCCGAAACCCTAAACCCTAAACATGTAAGTACGGTTGATGATATAAATCCTGCATTACCCATAATAAGGAATTTGCCATAATTCCCATAGTTTAGGGTCTTAAGGTAATGCAGGATTTATATCATCAACCCTAAACCCTAAAACCCTATAGATCCCTTAAAGGAGCCCCTTAAAGGGACCCTTATAGATCCCTTTAAAGGAACCCTAGGGATTTAAAACATCAGCCGTAGGTTTCAGGGTTGAATGCAGAGCTCTCGGTCGTCTCCCAAGGGCCACAGAATGTCGGGACTCTTTTGTAAGGTTTGGGGTTTAGAGTTTGGGGTTTGGGACTTAGGATCTAGGGTTTGGGGTTTAGGGTTTGGGATTTAGGGTTTGGGGTTTAGGGTATGGGGTTTAGGGTTTGGGGTTTAGGGTGTTTCGGGGTTGAAGGTTTAGGGTTTGGGGTTTAGGGTGTGGGGTTTAGGGGACCCCCGAATGGCCCATTCATGGAGCCCTTATGGTCCTTAATAGTGGGGTATTTCGGGCATATTAGAGGGTAGTTGGGGGTCTAGGTAGAGTTTAGGGCTTCGGACTTAGGATCTAGGGTTTGGGGTTTAGGGTTTGGGGTTTAGGACTTAGGATCTAGGGTTTGGTGTTTGGGGTTTGAGGGTTTGGGACTTAGGGTCTAAGGTTTTGGGCTTCAGGGATTTAGGGGTTCAGGGTTTTAAGGTTTCGGGTTGAGGGTCTTTTACTTGCATCCGAGGCTCCAGCCAGGCCAAGAGACTTTGGGAAGTCAGCTTTCGGATTTTCTACTGTAATAGAATTTATTAACAATTGCATGCGAACATATACTGTTCGTTTGATGCAGATGTTTTTGGCGTACCCGTATTCCATCGCAGTGGCTTTTATTTGGCCTCTCGGCTGCCGTCTCGTGCGCAGGCTCCCCGGACGTGGGTGAAGATGAAAATGGACCATGGCCCTGAAACCCTAAACCCGGATCTCTGAACCCTAAACTCTAAGCCCCAAACCCTAAACGCTAAACCCGGAACTCAATGAACACGGTCAGCTTGTCTGTGTACTCCCTGCTCGCCCAGATGAACCTCCTAATGGACCTCCCCCACCTGTTCCAGTAAATCTACCTCGACATCTTCGCCCTGTACTTCCTGTTCCGGTACCTGTACATGGAACAGTCGAACAGGCTCTTGGAGGTGCGCTGCTTGGCATCTGGACTGAAGCGACCACGAGTTCAACAACTCTGCCCACGACTTTGGAGGTGGAAGGTGATGTCAGTGGGTTGATGCAACTGCCGATACCTGAACATGGATGTGTTCCTTCAGACTGTTGGGCGCCGTCGACATCTTCCTCCACTACATCTTGGCCGAGTCTGCCTGCAACCCTTCCCTTATCCTCTACACTGGACGTACCTGGGACGGAGATGTCTGTGATCTGTACTTGGGGATGGAGCACTACGACGACCTCGACTTCGAGAACCTCTGTGTCGCCGGAGGATGTGGTTCGCGATGCTATCAACCGCGAGCTGGTCTACGGCAGTGTTGCAGACATTGTTGAAGTACTTCACCGACTGCAGTCCAGACAGAGGAGGCTTCTTCACCTCAGCCGTCTCATCGGGGTTGCTATTGAGGAAACCCTCGCATGGTTACCAGTGCCACCACACTCCTTGGTCTTCAATGCACCAACTATGGAGGCGCATATGTGGGGTGTCATCAACCAAGAGGCTAACTTCGGCTTTGGACCTTCCTCGACGGGTACTTCACAGGTCACCAACACTGCCGCCGCCCTCATGCAACCAGGCCTTCCAGCAAGCCTACGTGAACTGTGGAATTCCCTTCCCCATATGGAGCCTCGGACTATTGTGGGGTTGAGACGGCGAGCTTGGCGACATAATGCTCGCTCCCTGCACGTACACGGCGGTCACGCTATTCCTGAGGGCTGGTGGCCATCCGAAGACGACCAAGTACTCTACCTCATTCAGACGGATGAAGGTGTCGCACCGGGGAATTTGCCTACTGATATGGTGCCACAAGGACCTCCTGATCGTCGACATCCTCGTCATCGTCGACGGCTTCGTGTACCACGTCCACCTCCCGTGCTGCTCCCACTTGGAACACTGGGTGACTTGGTGGAGGCTGTTCCGCATGGTTCGAATCCCTCCCCGATGGATCGTGGAGTACCTCTTGGAGAAGTTAGTCTAGGATCTGGTGAAGTTGCTGGTCATCGTCGCTCTCGCAACCGAGACCGTAGTCGCAGTCGTGATGGTCCTGTTGAGAATGGTCCGACTGGGTCGTTTGCGACGAGTTCGGTGTCTGCCTCCTTTAAAAGTCCTGCTCGTCGTCGACCCCCGGTGCTTTCAGTTCGTCGTCGAGGCCTTGAAGTCGTGGACTAATGAGGTGGCTTTGAAGGTTCGTTTTTGACAGGTCCATAGAGGGCGACCTGTTACAGTGCAAGCCGGGTACCGGCTGGACCTCATGCGGAAAAAGGCCCCATTGCACTTAAAAAAAAAAACCGGAACTCTAAAGTCTTCGCTAAGGGCTCGACAACCGCCACCGCGGAGCCCGCGAAGCGGCCCGAGCTTCGCGAGCGGCAGAAAACGCGTACGCGGAGCCTAGGTAAAGCTAGGCGACTGGCACCATGCATGCCGGCCCCTCGGGCACCTCCCACGGTAGTGGTTATGAAGGATAAACCCTAAACTTGGGGGTTTTTGCCAGCGGATCCTTTCGACAAGGGTTTGACCCCCCAACCCTTCACGACGTGGAACGGCTCCCAAATGGACAAGGGTTTGACCCCCCAACCCTTCATGAACGGCAAATGGACAAGGGTTTGACCCCCCAACCCTTCATGAACGGCAACTGGACAAGGGTTTGACCCCCCAACCCTTCATGAACGGCAAATGGACAAGGGTTTGACCCCCCAACCCTTCATGAACGGCAAGTGGACAAGGGCTTGACCCCCCAACCCTTCATGAACGGCAAGTGGACAAGGGTTTGACCCCCCAACCCTTCATGAACGGCAAATGGACAAGGGTTTGACCCCCCAACCCTTCATGAACGGCTCCCAAATGGACAAGGGTTTGACCCCCCAACCCCCCCAACCCTTCATGACTTGGCGGGTGTTCCTTTCCAGGAAGCTGACAGCTGATTTTCTGTTACCAAATTCTGCTTGTAAAATGTGCCATTTACACTAGGCTGTCGGCCGATCTCTGGGTTCCTCCTTTCTGGCCAGTTCCCAAATGGACAAGGGTTTGACCCCCCAACCCTTCATGAACGGCCCCCAAATGGACAAGGGTTTGACCCCCCAACCCTTCATGAACGGCAAGTGGACAAGGGTTTGACCCCCCAACCCTTCATGAACTCACGAACGGCAAATGGACAAGGGTTTGACCCCCCAACCCTTCATGAACGGCAACTGGACAAGGGTTTGACCCCCCAACCCTTCATGAACGGCAAATGGACAAGGGTTTGACCCCCGAACCCTTCATGAACGGCAACTGGACAAGGGTTTGACCCCCCAACCCTTCATGAACGGCAAGTGGACAAGGGTTTTACCCCCCAACCCTTCATGAACGGCAAATGGACAAGGGTTTGACCCCCAACCCTTCATGAACGGCTCCCAAATGGACAAGGGTTTGACCCCCCAACCCTTCACGACTTGGAGCGGCTCCCAAAAGGACAAGGGTTGGACCCCCCAACCTTTCACGACTTGGCGGGTGTTCCTTTCCAGGAAGCTGACAGCTGATTTTCTGTTACCAAATTCTGCTTATAAAATGTGCCATTTACACTAGGCTGTCGGCCGATCTCTGGGTTCCTCCTTTTTGGCCAGTTCTCAAATGGACAAGGGTTTGACCCCCGAACACTTCATGAACGGCCCCCAAATGGACAAGGGTTTGACCCCCCAACCCTTCATGAACGGCAAGTGGACAAGGGTTTGACCCTCCCAACCCTTCGCGACGTGGAACGGCTCCCAAATGGACAAGGGTTTGACCCCCCAACCCTTCACGACTTGCAGGATTGCTACGAATCCGAAATGGACAAGGATTGGAGCCTCACAGACAATCCATTGCTTCATCCGGCACCCGCCAGGATAGCTTCACAGAAAGTCCACATGAGAACCCGCCAACACAGCCTCACAGAAAGCCCACATGAGAACCCGCCAGCACAGCCTCACAGAAAGCCCAATCCAGACAGAGACAGACTCACAGAAAGCCCGCATGCAGTGCTGCTTGTTTCTGCGCAGTTGCCGCTTCACAAAAAGCCCACTGCTGCTTCCGGCATTCGCCAGCACAGCCTCACAGAAAGCCCATTGCTTCTTCCGGCACCTGCCAGGACAGCCTCACAGAAAGCCCACATGAGAACCCGCCAACACAGCCTCACAGAAAGCCCAACCCAGACAGGGACAGACTCACAGAAAGCCCACATAAAAACCTGCCAACACACAGAAAGCCCAATCCAGACAGGGACAGACTCACAGAAAGCTCACATGCAGTGCTGCTTGTTTCTGCACAATTCCTGCCGCACTGAGAGTCCATTGCTTCTTCCGGCGATCGCCAGCACAGCCTCACAGAAAGCCCTTTGGTTCTTCCGGCACCCGCCAGGACAGCCTCACAGAAAGCCCACATGAGAACCCGCCAACACAGCCTCACAGAAAGCCCACGCCAGACAGGGACAGACTCACAGAAAGCCGACATGCGGTGCTACTTGTTTCTGCACAATTCCCGTCATTACAGCTTCACAGAAAGTCCACTGCATCTTCCGGCACTTGCCATGACAGCCTTACAGAACTTGCATAAGAATTCAACCGCACAGCCTCACCGAAAGCTTAATCCAGAGAGGGGGTCAGACTCACAGGAAGCCCACATGCAGTGCTGTTTTCGATCCTGCCTGGGCCCCGCTGAAAGTAACCGCCTCCGTCGTTGATGTCCAAGCCCCCGCTGGGGTGCCTAGAAGACTTTAGAACTAAACCCTAAAATGCTTGAACTCAGGGTGGTCTTGGGGTGGGCTGTCTGCTACGCACAAGTGCGAGCGGCCTGGGTGTGCACACACCAGCGAGCACCCATGACGTTACCACACCCTAAACCCTAAACCCGGAACTCTAAACCCTAAACCCGAAACCTAAAACCCTAAACCCTAAAGCCGAAGCCTTAAACCCGAAACCTGAAACCCTAAACCCTAAGCCCGAAACCTTAAGAATGGCCCAGGAAAGGTCTCCAGCCTCACCCAGCCAACTCAGCAAAAAAATCCGTCTATCACGAGGTCTAACGACGCTTGATCCACCTGAGGTCTGCAACCGCAATGTAAGGGCCTTATATATTTAGAACAGGGTTTTGGGAGATAGTATACTATCATGAAAATAAGGAGCCACCCCAAACCCTATTCTAATCAGTAAGGCACCAGTTGAGATCTCAAGCGCCAAACCCCAAGCGCTAAAGCCTTCAAACCAAAGCCCAAACCCTCCCCACACCCCCCGACGACTGTTGCTGATCAGTTCCTACATCACATCAGAGCTTCATTAGCATAGGGGCCTCATAATTCGAATAGGGTTTTGGGGCCCATTTTTAGACTATAATGACAATGAGGAATCCCCCAAAAGCGTAGTGGTCATTATTTAGGCCCGTAGACTATCGTAAACCTTAAATCCCAAACCTACATCAGAGCTTCCTTAGCTTGCTTTTTTGGGACCGCTACAGGTGATCCTCAGCTCCGGGCAGTCCTCGATGGCCGTCAGTTGGCGCTGAAGACCGCGAGGGTTTCGAAAGGTTTCCTTTAAAGGGGTCTATAAGGATTACTATAATTACTATTTTGGGGGGTTCCTTGTTACAAGTAGAGGAGGGCTTCGAAATGGTTCGTTGACAGCCAGGGCCTTAACTTGTTTTGGGGGTTCCTTATTATACTTACAGTATAATGCGAGGGTTTCGAAAGCGTTCGTTTAAGGTTACAGGATTTTAATGTGAAGGGTCCCAAAACCCTATTCTAATTATTCAGGCCTCTATACAGTAGGAGGGCTTCGAAAGGGTTCGTTTGCATAAGGGGCCTCTATTATTACCAAGACTATTTCGGGGGGTTCCTCGTTATAAGTAGAGGAGGGTTTCGAAACGGTTCGTTTAGGGTTACAGGGTTTTGAGTCTTCGGGCGGTAGGGCTTGGAGTTTATGGCCTTATGCTTCGGGCTTGAGGTTACGTCTTGAGGTCTTAGGTTTTCCTTGCGTGTTGGTGATGAAGCCAAAGCCTGCCGGGGCAGAAATCCGAGCCGCTCTAAACACCGAAGACTAGCGGTAGGCCACAAGAAGCTCGGAGGGGTACACCGGGTTGGCACGGGGTTTTGGTGAGTTCAGAGGTCTCAGTGCTCCACGACTTCGCCTCCTTGACACCGCCATCCTAAACACTGCATTGCATGGACGGTTTAGGGTTTAGGGTTTAGAGTTTAGGGTTTCGTCAGTGTTGATCACAGCGCAGCTTGTGTTCAGTTTGCTCTCTTGCTGGAGTTTGTTTTGGGTAGCTAAAGGGCTTACAGTTCTCCCGGTTTTGTCGTCAAGACTGCAGGGCTTGTGTGTTGTTCCAACTGTCCGCGGATGGCGGATAGTAGAGATTGCGACGACTGCTTGACATCCTTGCAAGCAGAGCTTGGCCCGTGCTAGTCTGGGTCATGTGAAAGGAGTCAACAAAAGCCCTAAGGCCTAAGCCCTAAACCGTAGCTTCATGCAGGGCATGTCTCTCTCCGTCTCTTCGGGTCTGGGTGCGTCGGGTTGCTGTTTCAAGTAGCCCTTTCATTAGGCTTTGTTTAAAGGATCATGGGACTTAGTAACTAGGGTTATAATTAGGGTAACTCTACTTATAACTACTTATTACCCCAATTAAGGTACGTGTAACCTTACTTACTAAGTCCCATGATCCTCCAAGTAGCGTGCATGAGACCGCAAAGAGTCAGTCACTGGATCCCGAGACCCAGAGCTACGCAGCAACCCTCTTGAGTCCCTCTCGCTGGCCGCAGGATTTCGGCGAACTCTGTCTATGGCTTCACAGGCAATCGATACCGTAGCCCTACACAAACCCCAAATCCTCAGCTACGCGTCAGCGGACAACACTGCGGTCCTAAACTCAGAAGCTCGGAACAAGCAGGCTAGATCGGCTAGACGCCTTTCTCGCAGCACAGCCCTAGAACCATGCAACGCATACCTCAGTAGCCCATTATTTAGGTGACTG